AGGGAAGACAGAGGGTCGACGGCCGAGGGCAGCGGTTCTCCAAATGAGCTCCTCCCACCACCAGGGCCGGCATCACCTGGGGATTTGTCAGAAAGGCAAATTGCCGGGCGTTGCCAGATCTCCGAATTCAGAAAGTTTGGGGGTGGCGCATTCACGGCGATCCTGATGCCCACCAAAGGATAACCACCACGGGCGAACCAGCAAAGAGCAGGATGAAGGCAGCAGACACCCATTCACTCCAAGTATAAGGCAAAAACAAACCCTGCAGCAGCCTGGGAGAACAGCCCGTGGAGCCCTGCCAGGGGCTGAGGGTACCAGCAGGGCTGACTGGCACGCCTCACGAGCACTCGGCAGGCCACAGGCCTACGCTCTCTACTTCTCCTTTTTCCACATTGCACCTAAGGTTGGATCCCCAGTGAACTGTGAAGAATCTCAACAAAATGATCTGCAGCACAAACAATGCATAAGCCCACCTCTCAAAGACTGAGGCTTTTCCTACCTATTGGTAGGAAAAAAGAGATTATTAAAAAATATTTATTTATTTATTTGAAAGGCAGAGAGGAGAGGGAGCAAGAACGTAAGGGGCAGAGGAAGGGGCATTTGGTCACAGCTTCCTGCGGATTCTCAGAGGGACGCTGAGGCCTCCCCTGCCCTGTGAGTTAGTGTAGGAGGTCAGCAGCTCAGACGGCTTCCCACAGTGGAAGACGAAACATCTGGAGTCAACCAAACAGGGTTCATATGAATAAAGGGACCTTCGGCAACTCCTCAAGTCCTAACCCCGAACTTCTTGCCTCGAAGGCTGCGGGAAGAGTTAAGATCAGACCCGTAAAATACTTAGCATGGTGCCTGCACACAAGTACCCAATAAATATAAACTTGATTGTAACAATATTAACAAAATGTATTTCTGGGTACACAACCCTTAGCAGTTGCAGTGGAACAGCTGGTATTTGCAACACAGATAAAATCACTCTAGTTTAAAATGGACACACATCTAGTTTGTTGCTGGGCTCTGAGAACTACTCAAGGCATCCCAGGTCGTCATGAATGCGGATGCTAAGGGCACCACACCCACTCCTCCTGTCCCTCCCCACTGTGACTTCCATCACATCAGCAACACAAGGACAACACTGTCCCTTGTCACTCAAACATTTACGGCTTCTACTGTCATTTTATTTACTTCAGAAAATGACCAATCAGGGCCGTCACTGTGGTGGCTGCTTGCTGCGAGGGTCCCCGGCTCAGGTCCCCTGCTCTGCTTCTGATCCAGCTCCCTGCTAGTGTGCCTGGGAAAGCCATGGATGATGGCCCACACATGGAGACCCGAATGGAGTTCCAGGCTCCTGGGTTTGGCCTGGCCAGCCCTGAGTGCTCTGGCCGTTTGGGGAGTAAACCAGAGGATGGAAGATCTTTTTCTCTGTCACACCACCGTTCAAATGAATAAATCATCTATGAAATGTGTCCTCATTAAGTAAATGGTTTCTTTGTGGGAAAAATAAAAAGAAGAGAAAGTGGCCTATGAGTTGTAGGCCAGTAACCACCACAATGTTTTGGATTACAGCTGAGTTAAGACACTTTGTCATTAGATGTCCATGGGAATCCTATCAGCCTTAACAAGCAGGCTTCTGTTACCTTTTGCTACTTCCCAATAAGTAACAAAAGTTACAACTGCAGAGGGAAGGACAAGAAGAAACCGACAAATCCTGAGATTTCATATGAAATGAATTTTATTCTCTATTAAAATAGATATTAAATCACTAACTTTAGCTACTATAAACTTAAAAGTCCAAACAATCTTAGATTGCTGAGGAGAGACCTACTTCAGACCAGCTGAAATAAGAAAGATAAATGAGCACTTCATGTACACCAAATCGTATTAAATAGTCACCACTGATCATCTGAGGTCAGTAAAAACTCAGCGTTTGTGAATGTTAGAAGAGATGAACATATTTACACTGACTGGAGATTGCACAACATATACATGAACCAAAACATCACATAGTATCCCATAAATATGTATAATTTTATGTCAATTTTGAAAAGATATAAATTTTAAATGAAACAATTTTAAAAAATAAAGTAATAAAAAAATTCAATGTAGAGTATCTATTACCTGTTTGTATGTGTGTGTGTGCATTTAAACCAGCTACAGATTTGAATACAATTAAGTACTCTTTTAGGCCTACCACTATTTAAATAACAAAAAAGCAGACAGCTAATGCAAATAAAACTAAAGTTTCAAGGAGAGATTTACAACACGTGGAATTTATAGGGAATTACCTTTTAAAAAATACTAAGCCATGAAGGATAAACGGGTTTTCAGAACAAGCTAAAAGCCACCGATCTGATTGGCTGCCTCAGCGCCAGGAGTACCCTGGTCAATCGATTCTGCCAGAACCTTTAACTGGGAGGATGTAGTCACAGAAGTGTGGACTTGGGAGCAGGCACCAAGTCACAGCCGGGCTCTCCAGCTTCGCAGCAGCAGCTGAGGCTGGGACCCGAGGAGACTGGGTGAAGGCAAAGCCTGTGGCTCTTCAGGGAAGCATGCAACGGTGGATGTGTCGCTGTGTCGGTCGGCAGCACCCAAAGACCCTGTCAACCCCAGGAGAAGCTGGGAGCCTCCCTGGAAAGACGGCAGAGCTCTCGGGTCCAGTGAGCTCCAGCGGAGATCCCAACTCTCCACCTAAGAAACGCCTCCACGCTCAGTGCTAAGTTAAAAGGAACGGCCACGTGCACACTTTGTCAACCTCAGGGGCAATCAGACCATTTCCAAAGCCAACACCCACGTAGGGTGGTCCTCCCAGACCCCGCGTGTGGGCCTCCCTACTGTGGGGCCGAGCAGCTGTGCGTGGAGGTTCTGTAACCACCACAGCTTCTGGGATTTCATCACTCTGCAAACACCACACACACAGGTGCATATTGGGTTTTCCCTCGTGGGACTGCTCGCTGTTAGCTCACAAATGAAACCAGGCACACACAGAAGCAGGAACTCGGGAGGAACGGTGCCCCTGAGCCCAGGGTTCGAGCGCTCCACCTCTGCACAGGCAAGCTCGGAGGCTAGGGCCTCAGGAAGGCACCAAGTGTTTATGACCCCAGGAAAAGCAGGAAGCGAAGAGAGCTGGCACCACCCGCCCTTCCAGGCAAGTGACGTCACTGGTTGGGATAAGACATTAACTTTAGCAGGAGGGTGTTTTTCCACGTGCACCTCCTGTAAATACCCCTCCGGCTTCCACCGAGTGGTCAGAGAGGGACCCTGGCCCCCAGGGCGACAGCAGACACCAGGAGCCTCACCTGCAAGACCGAGAGAGGTGCACTTCCCTGCAAAACCCTCAATCAGCCTCCGCATTTGCATATTCCAGGTTAGCTCAGGAATGCTCTGCAAATCAAAGGCTGCAGAGACTGGGTGTTCTGAGGCTCCCAGAGATCTACAGCCCGCCGAACCCCGAGCAGCCAAGCGGGTCCCAGCCCTGTAAATCAGCGTATCTCCCAGAGCATTACTCTATTTGCGTGCTTCTGCAGCTTACTCTGGGCGAAGTCAAGTGCTATTTCTACGCGTTCTATTAAAAAAAAAAAAAAACCAAGTGACGACGGTAGGGCTTCGCTCTGCAGCAAACTCATCATTTTATCAAACTCCTGACTACTTCGCCGGCTAGCAAGTTTGCCCGCGCAGCGTTGCCCTCCCCAGAAAGGCTGAGGCACGCTCAGCCAAGTGCGCACACACGCTGCCCAGACCGTGGCCACTCCGGGGCAGGCCAGCCCCATCGCCACGGCGCTGCAATCGGCCAGACCCGGGTTCGCGTCCTCCCGGGGGTGTGACTCGGGCCAGGTCTCGCCAAGCCTCAGCCTCCTCATCCGAGAAACCGGGAGGCGCTCACGGCGGCGGCCCCCTCCCTCGGCCGGGACCCCACGAGGCGCCCCCTCCCCGAGCCCCACCCCCACCCGCCCCCACTCCACACCTCCCGCAGCAGGAAACACAAAGAGCGAGCTTAAACCCCGCAGGGTCCCTCCGACCGCAGGCTCTCCGAATGAATGAACGAGCGCCCAGGAGCGGCTCCGCACGCAGCCGCCCCGGAAGCGCCCCCGCGCGGCTCTCGGGCGCGGGGCTCCCGCCGACCCCCGCACGCACCCCCAGCCCGGCCGAGCCCCCGACGCCCGCGGGCAGCCTCCATTCATTCCCCGCCCCCTCCCGGCCGGCCCCGGGACCGGCCCCACCCGCCGGGGGGTCTCTCCCCGGCCCTCCGCGCCCCGCGTGGACCTGTCACCCCACGAGTCCGGCGCAGGCGGAGGGGCCGCCTCGCTCCTGACCTCGGCGCAGAGGCCAAGGGGAGCAGCCGTCCCCTCGGCCGCCGGGAAGGGGCCACAGCCCGGCCCGGCCCCCTCCCCTCCCCAGGGACCCGCCAAGTCCCCGCCGGGGACAGCGCGAGATAAGAGGGAGGGGACGGGCTCTCCAAATCCCCCTTCCCCGCGTCTTCTTCCCAGCACGTCAACCTCTCGCGCCCGCCCCCCAGCGCCTCGCAGACTGGGGTCATGGTGCCAGGGCTGCCCCCAGAAACCTCGGTGGAAAGGAGGGGGGGAGACACCCCCATACTCACCCACCGTCTCCTCCCCCTCAGCTGTTTACCTCACAGTTCCTCCAGCCTACAGGGCGCCGCCATCTTGGACGCGCAGCACCTCCCCCCGTCGTGAAACGTCCACTGCCGGCGGCGCCCTCCGCCACGAAAAAGAGTCCCCGGCCAGCACCGCCCTCCCTGGGGAACCGAAGGACGGATGAGCGCCGGCCGCAGCCCCGCCGGACGGGAGAGGCCACTCTGCTCATTTCAGGGGACGCAGGCTGGCGGCCAAAGCGACGAGGAGAGTTTTTAAGGTAGGGGGCGGGGACGGCGGAAGGATCCCGAAAGGAGGCCGCTGAGCGATCTTGTGACTCCGAAGGAGGCAGAAAGAAGGGCCGGCGCGGCGGGAGGAGCCACGCGAGAGCCCGGGGGGCGGGGCGGGGCGGGGCGGTCACGTGACGGGCCGGCCGGGCGCGCGCCGCGGCAGAGGCGTAAACAGGCTGCAGCCGGGCGCCCTGCGGCCCGACCCCGGCGGGTTTGGTCTCCTTCGGGTCCGCCCGGGCGGATCCTGTGGACCCTCGCGGGAGGGGCGGCGACGCCAAGGCCCAGGGCGGCCCCCGTCCGCCGAGAGCCTCGCTGGCTTCCGCCTTCGGGACGCCGCGGCTTCGCGCCCGGGCCTGGCGGCGCTGGGAACCGACCCAGGCGGGACGAGGCGCCCCGGGGCGGTGTCGCCCCCCGACCCGGTTCCGCCGCGGCTCGGTGGGCGGGAGGCGAGGGTCCGCGGCGCCTGCTCCCCGGGCCGCGCAGGTGCGGCCGAGCCGGGACTGCGGCCGGGGGCTTCGGGCTGGGTTTCCAAGGCGAAGCGGGTTTGGGGACGTGGGAGAGGACAGCCCAGGAGCCGGCGCCTGGTGGGAGGCTGACCGCCTTCGTCCGGGAAGCGAACGGGCCGCGGGGCCGGGCAGCCTGTGCTGGGGCCCGGGGTGTGCACGGGGGCTGCCGGCGGGTCGCCCAGGGCAGGTAGGACGAAGGACGCGCTCTGGGCGAGCAGATGCCCGGCCTGGGCCCTGAGCCGTGGACGAACTTTGAGCAGAGATTTAGGGACGCACAGGCTTACGAGCTGGGGGGCGGGGGCGGGGGTGGGGGGCGCTGGTCCAGCCTGGTCTCCGAGGCGAGATCTGTGGATGGAAACAGGCCGGGCTTTGACGGCAGCTGTAGCCATCGCGCTAACGGGGCGAACCTCGGCTTCTGCATCTGGGACCTGGGGTCGTAACGCCTCGTTCGTTCGTGGGAGTGCGGGGTGGGCTCGGGAAAGCTACAAGGGGACCTCAAAGTGTGTGTGGGAACATGGAAGTAAAGCAAACGTTTGCAAAGAAAATTAAAAATCCGCGCGGCTCTTCGTGATCCTCATTTTCCGTGAGTGTCTTGAAGACGCTGTGCGTAACGCAGCCGCTGCTTCCGTTCGCGTTCGTTTTCCTGTTGCTGCGCTCGCCAGCAGTAGCTGTCACTCCCCGGGTGGGTCCAGCCTGCTCATTTTGCTGGAGGATAGCGTGGGGAGCGGGCTCGGGTTCTGTCAGCGCCCCCGGGGCGCGGGAGCTGGCTCCCGGCTTTGCGCTCACCGCAGTGCAGGGCGCTGGCGTGTTCAGAGACGCCTGGGACCGCCAGGGTCTGGGGGCGCTCAGAGTGAGGAGGGGGCAGGCAGCGCTCTGGGGGCCTCCTCTCCTGTCCCCTCCTTGGCCGCACCCGGCAGGAATGCTTGCTACTGCACAGAAGAGCGTGGTGCAGAGCTCAACTGCTGGCTCTCGAGGGGGCCGTCCCCGCGTCCTACTCTGGAAGAGGACCGGTGATTGTCTTAGCGTGGACCACCGGGGCAGAGACGGCCGTGCGGGGGTAGCGTACGCTCCGCTGGGTTGATTTCTGCTAAACAGATGTCAATCAGAGAGCTACCTCCAGGCGCCACCTGCAGCCTCCCTGGGGCAGGGCCTTCCTGGCTGGCCCGCGTCAAGGCGGAGCCCTGTGGACCGGTGCTGCTGATGTACATGGTGGACAGCCGTTGCGTGTGTGCCCCTTCTGAGGAAGCGGATCGCCCCTCCGGGATTCCTCCTGTGCTCGCGGCCTGACCACATAGCACCACCCCCAGACCACCACGTGCGGACCAGGCCTGGCCAAGCAGAGGCCCCCATCATCTAACCAGGTTGACTGGCGCGTTGTCGGACATGGGACTTGAGCCAGGCCGGTCAGCCTGCTTCCCTGGGTCCTTATCTGTGGATGCTGAAAGAGAGGTTTTTCTCTTCCTCTGAGGGTCACAGAAGTGGCACCGGGAGCCGTGGTCCTCTGTCCTGTCCCACAGGAAACTGAGTAAGAAGTCTGGCCAGAAGAGGAAAGAGAGACAGAGAAATGCAGGTTGCTGTCCTCCGTTTGAGCTGTTCTTGGGCTTCAGCTTCCAGCTGCCTGCGGGGCGGCCCCCATCCGGTCACTCCGCCCTTGTACACGGCTCCTGTAGGTCAGAGCCCAAGCCCCCAAGGCCCCCGCAGTCCCGTCCCTTCCCCTCACTGTCTAGCTCCGTGTCCTCCGAGGACGTGGTCCTGCCCTGCTCAGGCCGGCTCCCCCGTCCGTCACGGCTCCCCACCCTGTGCTGGTCTTTCACTGTCTAGGCTGCCTCGTGCTGTCGCACCTGAGCCGGCCTGTGCCTCCTTGTTGCGTTTGACCAAGTTGAGGCAGGGCCAGTGGACGGAGGAAGAGGCCCTCCCACAGGGCTGCCCGGCTCCCCCCCCCCATCCCCTAGAGGTGACAGTGCCTCCCCGCCGTCACTGCCCACCCGGCTCCCCCGTGTGTTAGCAATGCCCCCCCCCACTCATCCCCTAGAGGTGACAGTGCCTCCCCGCGGTCACTGCCCACCCGGCTCCCCTGTGTGTTAGCAATGGCTCCCCCCCACACACTCAAACCCTAGAGGTGACAGTGCCTCCCCGCGGTCACTGCCCACCCGGCTTCCCCGTGTGTTAGCAATGGCTCCCCCCCCCACTCATCCCCTAGAGGTGACAGTGCCTCCCCGTGGTCACTGCCCACCCGGCTCCCCCGTGTGTTAGCAATGGCTCCCCCTGCCCCCACTCATCCCCTAGAGGTGACAGTGCCTCCCCGCGGTCACTGCCCACCCGGCTCCCCCGTGTGTTAGCAATGGCTCCCCGCCACACTCAAACCCTAGAGGTGACAGTGCCTCCCCGCGGTCACTGCCCACCCGGCTTCCCCGTGTGTTAGCAATGGCTCCCCCCCACACACTCAAACCCTAGAGGTGACAGTGCCTCCCCGCGGTCACTGCCCACCCGGCTCCCCTGTGTGTTAGCAATGGCTCCCCCCCACACACTCAAACCCTAGAGGTGACAGTGCCTCCCCGCGGTCACTGCCCACCCGGCTTCCCCGTGTGTTAGCAATGGCTCCCCCCCCCACTCATCCCCTAGAGGTGACAGTGCCTCCCCGTGGTCACTGCCCACCCGGCTCCCCCGTGTGTTAGCAATGGCTCCCCCTGCCCCCACTCATCCCCTAGAGGTGACAGTGCCTCCCCGCGGTCACTGCCCACCCGGCTCCCCCGTGTGTTAGCAATGGCTCCCCGCCACACTCAAACCCTAGAGGTGACAGTGCCTCCCCGCGGTCACTGCCCACCCGGCTTCCCCGTGTGTTAGCAATGGCTCCCCCCCACACACTCAAACCCTAGAGGTGACAGTGCCTCCCCGCGGTCACTGCCCAGGGAGTTCCCCACTGTTTGTTTCTCTAAAGCTACTTGCACCTCTGGCTTTTTAATTTCCCTTTTGAGGTGTGCTGATGCCGCACCCCCTTCTGAGAGAACGTGCCCACGGCCTGAGCTGCCCGCTGAGAACCACCCCAGACTCACGGGTGCTCACAGCGCTGAGTGGGCCTGGGTCCGCCCCTGAAAAGCTTCTCACTGAGCCAGCCAGATTCTCCTTCCTGCTGCTTTGCAGGAAAGACCCCGGGCATTGGTTGAGGCTTGCGACTGCACAACTCCAGGGGGCACCATTCGAACGGCTGTGCTCCTGGGGATTCAGGTCACCTAAACACAGGCCCCACGTGCACGCCCTCTGGGTTGTGCGGCAAGGCAGCGCTGTGTTGGCCGGCATACGGCTTTGCATCCAGCACCTTGGACAGCAGAGAGGAAGCAGGACGAGCAGCTAAGAGGTTGCTGGGAAGCAGGTATGCCCCCGGGGGAGCAGGCCTGGTGAGGAGGAACACAGGGCCCTGGGGAGGCGGGAGAGCACAGGACAACAGCTCACGGCCGTGAGGCCTGGCCACACCTGCTGCTCCTGTTGGAAGGTACCTGGGTGCCTCTTCAAAACATGTTCGCTTTCCCCGAGCCGTGTTCCTGACCAGCACGTGAGCCCACAGGTGGCAAGAACGCCTTCCCTTCTTCACCTGGGTGACACCTGCTCACACCTGTTCTTCTGCCCGGAGTCAGCTGCAACGTGACTTCCACTAGGAAAACTCGGGACCTGGAGGAGGGAGGAGGGGCACCTGCCAGCCGTGAAATGCCTGCTTCCTGCGGTGTGTGTGCAGGAGTGGGCCTGTCTCCCTCCAAACTCTCAAGGCTCTCTCTGCTGTCCCCAGGAGGTGTGCTAGTTCAAGGTCAGACGCCAAGGTTGAAACCCGGCGTCCACGTCAGAGCTCCCTGCTCGTGGGTCTGCAAAGGGCAGTGGGAGGTGGCCCAGGTGAGCCAGCAGACGGAAGGTGTCTCTGTCTCTGTCAGTCTGCTCATCGAATAAAGGGAGGGGGGTCCTTGGACCAACCGTAAGGAAAACCCTTCAAGACTGAGGGGGAGCAGGGAGCGTTGGTGCCCACAGGGAGCTAAGTGGCGCCGTGGCTGCCAGCTCTGATGTCAGTGCTCCTGTGGGAGGCCCGACGCTCCCTGAGATCCGGTCGGCTCCCCTCGTGCACTGACTCCGGGGAGACCTGGGTGCTGAAACAGCACCACAAATGCAGTGGCTTGCACGTGGGGGTTTATTGGAAGTCAAGGTGTCAGCCGTGTTGGCTCCTCCCCAGGGCTGCACACTGGAATCTGTCCAGGCCTCCCTCCTAGCTTCAGGTCAGCTGGAAGTTTTGGGTGCCCCTCGGCTTGAGACACATCCCTCTGACCTACACCGTTGCACTCACATGGGCTCTCCCTGGTGTCGGTCTTGGCGCCGGAGTATTTAATTGGGATCCCACCCTATTTGCTTTCCGTACTTAATTTGAAAGGCAGAGTAATGGAGGGAAAGAGAGAGAATCTCCCATGTACGGTTCATTCCCCAGATGGTTGCAGCAGCATGTCTGGGCCCAGCTGAAGCCAGGAGTCAGGAACTCCATCCAGGTGTGGTGGGGGCTTGGGCCATCATCTGCAGCCTTCTGAGGTGTGTTAGCAGGGAACTGGGGCAGGAGAGAGCTGGACGCAAACCGATGCTCCAACACGGGATGTGGGTGTTATATCCCTGACCCCCAACGCATCCGTAATCTCATCTGAACGGATTACATCTGCAGTGGGCTAGGATTTCAGTGTGGGGTTGGGCAGTAAATTCAGGCTCTAACAGGTGCCAAGGGCTGAGTTGGTCACATGATCGTCCATGGGTTGTGAAAGGGGCCCTCGGCCGGCGCCGCGGCTCACTAGGCTAATCCTCCGCCTAGCGGCGCCGGCACACCGGGTTCTAGTCCCGGTCAGGGCTCCGGATTCTGTCCCGGTTGCCCCTCTTCCAGGCCAGCTCTCTGCTGTGGCCAGGGAGTGCAGTGGAGGATGGCCCAGGTGCTTGGGCCCTGCACCCCATGGGAGACCAGGAAAAGCACCTGGCTCCTGGCTCCTGCCATCGGATCAGCGCGGTGCGCCGGCCGCAGCGCGCCGGCCGCGGCGGCCATTGGAGGGTGAACCAACGGCAAAGGAAGACCTTTCTCTCTGTCTCTCTCTCTCTCACTGTCCACTCTGCCTGTCAAAAAATAAAAAAAATAAAAAAAAGAAAGGGGCCCTCTCACTGTGCACCTGCTCATTCCCTTTTTTTGTGTGTGTGTGTATTTTTAAAGATTAATTTATTTATTTGAAAGTGTTACACAGAGAGAGGAGAGGCAGAGAGAGAGAGGTCTTCCATCCACTGGTTCACTCCCCAGATGGTGGCAATGGCCGGAGCTGTGCTGATCAGGAGCCAGGAGCTTCTTCCAGGTCTCCCACGTGGGTGCAGGGGCCCAAAGGACTTGGGCCATCTTCTACTGCTTTCCCAGGCCAAAGCAGGGAGCTGGACTGGAAGTGGAGCAGCTGGGTTTTGAACCGGCACCCATATGGGATGCCGGCGCTTCAGGCCAGGGCATTAACCCACTGAGCCACAATGCCGGCCCCTGCTCATTCCCTTTTATCGTCTTTCCCCACGTCTAGTTCCCGCCTGTCCCGTAAGTAGCCATTCTAACGTCTGTGACAAGCATCTTTTAGCCTTTGTGGGCCCCTGCAGGGTGCGTGTGTTTACCCTGTATCAGTGAGATCTTGGTGTAGCCAGTGATCTGTTTCTGGCCATCTTCCCCATTCTGCATTACGTGTGCAAGCTCCGTCCACGTTGCTCTGTGTCCCCCTGGCCGGTAGCCCCTAACTGCTGGCAGTGACTCCGTAATGTGATCTACCCTAGTGCCTCCATCTCCCCGGGAGCCACGCCACACTGCCGTCAGTGACAACATGGTGAGGGATGTCCCCGCACTTCTCCCCTGGTGGATTCGCCGAGAATTTCTCTGGGATACCTAGCCAGGGGTAAAGCTGAGGGTCTTGGGGTTCGTGGATTTACTTGTAATACACTAGGAGTCAAGCCGGTGCCGCGGCTCACTAGGTTAATCCTCCGCCTTGCAGCGCCGGCACACCGGGTTCTAGTCCCGGTCGGGGCGCCAGATTCTTTCCCCAGTTGCCCCTCTTCCAGGCCAGCTCTCTGCTGTGGCCCGGGAGGGCAGTGGAGGATGGCCCAAGTGCTTGGGCCCTCCACCCCATGGGAGACCAGGAAAAGCACCTGGCTCCTGCCATCGGATCAGCGCGGTGCACCGGCCGCAGCAAGCCAGCCGTGGCGGCCATTGGAGGGTGAACCAACAGCAGAAGGAAGACCTTTCTCTCTGTCTCTCTCTCTCACTGTCCACTCTGCCTGTCAAAAAAAAAAAAAAAAAAAAAGCCATCTTAAAAAAAATACACTAGGAGTCTTCAGAAAGCTCATGAAGAAGCGGGCCTATGGCCTGGGAGTTCAGACACTAACAAAAATGCTTGCCTGCCCATACAGGAGTGCCTGGGTTCATTCTCAGCGCCACTCCTGATTCCACCTTCCTGCTGATGCACACCTGGGAGGCAGCAGGTGGTGGACGGGTGCTTCCCATCACATGGGAGACCTGGACGGAGTTCCTAGTCCGCGTATTCTTCATGGTCTGGTCCCAGGGGTTGTGGGCGTTCGGGAAGTGAACCAATAGATGGATGTTTCTCTCTCCATATCTCAAATTTTGAAATTAAAATTTTTAAGTTCATGGAAAATGCATACTATGAAAAAACTGTCTATGGACTTCAAAAAAATTTTTGCAACAAAATAAGCTTATCTTTTAATCACATTTTCTGCAAGTTTCCAAGTGCCCCCCGGTACACCACTGCCCGAGTCTCTGCTCCCATCAGAAGTCCACAAAAGTACCTGTGTATTCTTGCTAACACTTGGTAACGACCAACTCTGTAATTGTTTCTATATAACAGGGCCAGAGTGACGTGTGAGCCTCGCTTTGATATGATGAGTGGAGCATTTTTGTGCTATTGGCGTCTTGTGTGTTACTCTCTGTAAATTGCTAGTTCCTGTCTCTTGACTGTTTTCCCAGTGGAGTTAGGATCTTCTCCTGTTGATTTGCTGGAGTACCCTATATGTTCCACGCACGTGTCCCTTGTTGGCTGTAGACGTTTCAACTCTCTCCTCCCAGTCTGGTATCGGACCTATCAGCTGTCTATATTGTATCTCAGTGGAAAAGAGTTATGAATTTTGGAGCCATCAGATTCACCTCTTTTTCTTTTTGACTTTGTTTAGCCTAACCCTAAATTTATTGAGACTAATGCTTGTCATAGTTATAACTGAATCACGTGGCATTAGAACAGGCTAAAGAGGCAGATGAAAAATATAAATCAAGTAACTTTTTAAACCAATGTTTAAAAATATATTTGGGGAGTGGGCGTGTGGTAATCAAGACGCCTGCATCCCACATCAGCGTGCTTGGGGTTCAGCGCCTGGCTCCAGCCTCTTGCCAGGGCAGATCAGAGGAGGCGGGTGATGGCTCAGTGCTCGGGTTCCTGCCAGCCGTGTGGTAAGCCCGGCTTCCTGTCTTTGGCCTTGCCTGGCCCTGACCTATAAGGCCTTTGGGGAGTGAAGCAGCAGATGGAAGGTCTCCCTGTCTCTCTCTCTTTCTCTGCCACTCTGCCTTTCAAATAAATAAAAAGAGAAGGAAAGAAGGGAGGGGTGGAGTGAAGGAAGGGAGGGAGGGAGGGAGGAAGGGAGGAGATAATGGGAGTGGGGTGTTTGGCCCAGAAGTTACCCCACATCACTTACCAGAGTGCCTGGGTTTGATTCTCAGCCTGGGCTGCCGATTCCAGCTTCCTGCCAGTGTAGACCCTGGGAGGCAGTGGTAAACGCTCCAGCAGATGGATTCCTGCCACCCACGTGGGAGGCCTGGGTTCAGTTTCCAGCTCCTGGGTTCAGCCTGGCCTAGCCCCAGTCATTGCATGTAGGGAGTGAACCAGGGGAGGACTGTGTGTCTGTCTCTGTCTCTGTGCCTCCCAAATTAAAAAATAATAGTAACATTAGGTATAAATTTGGTCCTTCAATTTTGGTTATTTTTGCTTGCTCTTAGTAACTTTTTCATTTTCTTTTAAGTAAGGAAGCACCACAGACATGCAGGTCCTGCTAATGCAGTGGCCGGGCTTCCCCATGTGTGCGTGCGTGTGCGTGTGTGGGTGTGCATGTGTGTGTGTGTGTGAGTGTTTCAGTTCCAGTTTTATGTCAATGCTGCCAAAACCAGCATTATACTTTGGGTTTTTGAGGTTTTGCCTTTTCCTACACTTTGTCATAAAAAATCATTCTTGAGTGTTCTATGTATTGATATTCTTTATATTTCGTGTTTCACTTTTAGATCTCTGTGAAGGCCAAGAAAGTGGGTCAGTCCTGCCTCCTGCCAGCTGACGGAGGCCCCAGCTGCCGCGGCCACACTTGCAACAGGGTCACACATCCACGACCTCTCTCGGCCAGGGGCCAAGCAACCACAGGGATCCTCGTGGAGGCCAGTCCTTCTGAGGTGGGGGGCGTCAGCTGGAGGCCGTCATCTGACTGAGGGGCCCTCTCCTGAGACTGCAGTGCATTGTGGGACTCCTCCTCACAGCCCCCCACCCACCCCGTGTCAGATCTGCATCACTGTGTTCTTCCATTTTCTGTCGCTATCGAGAAATGCCCGAGGCCGGGCACTTGCAAGAGAAAAGCCGTTTATGCAGCTCACAGATTCGGAGGCTGGACGTCCAAGGTCAGGCTGCTCCCTGGAGTTGGCCTCTGCCGAGAGCCTCCTTGGCTACACCACATGACAGGAAGCCAGAGACCAGGACGGAGTCCGTGGTTAACATCACTCCCAGCTCGCTCACAGGCACTGCCTGGGTCCCGTGAGAGTGACTTGATCTCCTCCGAGGGAAGACTCCAGCACCCAGTCACCCTCCAGCAGGCTCCACCCGCTGCACCTGCCCCACCTCAGCACCCCACGCTGCGGACCAAGCGTCCAGCACACAGGCCCCTGGGCCCACACTGAAGCCCCCAAACCGGGCACTGTCCGAGGGCTCTCCACCCTCTCCAGTGGCCTCGCCTGTTAGCGTTCGGTACCAGGCACTGTATAGTTCCTAATCTTAATTTTGTGCGTTTCTGAGTTTTTCAGTTTAGGCTTGGTTATCACTGAAGTAGAGAAATTCTTGTTGATTTTTTTGTTAGGTTCTTACATCTAGTTGAACTCTTTGATTCTAATAGTTCGTCACTTACACTAATAGTTCGTCACTTATTGTTTACTTATTTGGTTATGAGGTAGAGAATCAGAGAGAGAGAGAGACAGAGCTCCCCTCTGCTGGTTCACTCCCCAAGTGCCCACAGTAGCTCCCAGCAGGGGCCAGGAGCAGGAACCCAGCCCAGGTCTCCCATGTGGGTGCAGGGCCGTCACCACGGCCTCTCAGGCCTGCACTGGCCGGAAGCTGGCCTCAGGAAGGGAGCCCGGCGTTGAACACAGGCACTGTGATGCAGGAGGTGGCACCTTAACCCCTGGGCCAAAAGTCTGCCCTGGTTTTGATGGTTGGTTTTTCTTGGTATCTGTTCATGTCAACTGGAAATGAAACAGTTCTGGGCCGGCGCCGCAGCTCACTAAGCTAATCCTCCGCCTTGCGGCGCCGGCACACCAGGTTCTAGTCCCGGTCGGGGCGCCAGATTCTGTCCCTGTTGCCCTTCTTCCAGGCCAGCTCTCTGCTGTGGCCAGGGAGTGCAGTGGAGGATGGCCCAAGTCCTTGGGCCCTGCACCCCATGGGAGACCAGGAGGAAGCGCCTGGCTCCTGGCTTCGGATCAGCGTGGTGCACTGGCTGCAGTGGCCATTGGGGGATGAACCAACAGAAAATGAAGACCTTTCTCTCTGTCTCTCTCTCTCTCACTGTCCACTCTGCCTGTCAAAAAAAACAATATGTATCCATAACTCATTACCTTCTCTGTGCAATGGCTAGTATTACAGGTCAGTTGAATTTACAAACCTTGTATCACTCTCCTTCTGTTTCCTGCCTCCTGTTCTCTGTTCTACTGTTGTCATGGGTTTTGCTGCTACATAGGTTGCAAGCACCACGAAACATTGTTTTAAATATGTATTTAATTGAGAGGCGGGATCTTTCATCTACTGGTGTACCCCCCAAATAGCCACAGAAGCTGGGACTGGGCCAGACCAAAGCCAGGAACTCAGAGCTTCAGCTGGTTCTCCCACGTGGGTGCAGGGGTCCAAGCACTTGGCCATCTTCTGCCGCTTTACCAGGCGCATCAGCAGGGAGCTGGATTGGAAGCAGAGCAGCCGGGACTCAAACTGCTGCTCCAATATGGGAGGCTGGCGTTGCAGGCTGTGGCTTCATGCGCTGGGCCACAACACCTGCCCCATTGTTATTGTTTTTAAATAAGCGATTATGTTTAAAGAAATAAACAGAAAAAATGTTGTAAATGTTGTAGTTCTTTACATATTTAACATTGCCAGCATTCTTTTTTTGGGGGGGGGGCATGGATTCAAGTTTCTGTCTGGAATCATACTCTTGCTACTTAAAGAAGTTCCTTTAACATTTTTTTCTTTTTAAAAAATTTATTTGTTTGAAAGAGTTACAGAGAGAAGAGATACAGAAAGAGATTTTCCATCCACTGGTTCACCCCCAGATGCCTGTAATGATTTGGGCTGGGCCAGGAGCCAGGAGCTTCTTTGGGATCTCCCACGCGGGTGCAGGGGCTCAAGCACTTGGGCCATCCTCCACTGCTTTCCAGGCACTTTAGCAAGGAGCTGGATTGGAAGTGGAGGAACTGGGACTCCAACCGGCACCCATGTGGGCTGCCAGCACTGCAGGCGGTGGCTTTACCCACTATGCCACAATGCCAACCCTATCCTTTAACACTCCTTATAATGTGAGCTTGTCGTGAATCTTTGAACCTTCATTTGTCTGAAAAAGTGTATTTCACATTTATTTTTGAAAGGTATTTTCATTGAGTATAGAATTCTAGGCTGACAATTCCTTTCTTTCAATTTTTTTAAAGATTTTTTTTTCAAAGAGTTACAGAGAGAGAGGGAGAGACAGAGAGAGATCTTCCATGTGCTGGTTCCCTCCCCAGATGGTCACAATGCGGCTGGGCCAGGCCGAAGCCAGGAGCCAGGATTTTCTTCTGGTTTTCCATGTGGGTGCAGGGGCCCAAGCACTTGAGCCACCTTCTGCTGCTCTCCCAGGCCATTAGGGAGCTGGATTGGAAGTGGAGCAGCCGGGACTCGAACTGGAGCCCATATGGATGCTGGCATTGCAGGCAACAGCTTCACCCAGTATGCCACAGCACTGGCCCCATCGGTTTTATTTATTTATTTATTTATTTATTTACTGAAAGACAGAGTGACAGAGAGCTAAGTCAGGAGCCTAAACTCCATCCTGATGTCGCACACGAGGTGCAGGGCCCCGAACACGTGAGCTGTGTTCCACTGCTTTTCCAGGATGCATTAGCAGGGAGCAGCTGGGACTGTCACTTGCTGGTACCCCAAGTGGCAGCATAACCCACTATGCCGTGACACTGGTCCCCCTCTCTCAGCTTTGTGAAGATACTCTGTTGTCTCCTAGATGGCATAATTTCCTCTTTTTTTAAAGATTTATTATTTATTTGAAAGAGTTACATTAAGAGAGGATTCTTCCATCTGCTGGTTCATCCCCAGATGGCTGCAACGGCCTGGTCTAGACCAGGCCAAAGCCAGGAGCTCCACCCGGGTCTCCCACGTGGGTTCAGGGGCTCAAACACTTGGGCCATCCTCTGCTGCTCTCCCAGGCCACAGCAGAGAACTAGATCGGAACAGAGCAGCCAGGACATGGACCGGCTCCTACATGGGATGCCAGCGTCATGCCCCGCGTGGTGCAGTTTTAAAGGTGGTGCCTTTGAGGGCTGGGGCTCAGCAGATGATTCAGTCACTGGGCGCGTCGCCCGGTTTCCTATAAAACGGGCAAGGTCCCTGCTGTCTGGCTTCCTCCCCCGCGTGAGATGGTTTCCCGGCGCTCCCAGATGTGTGCTGAGTGAGCCTCTGGATGAAGCGCCCCGGCCTCGGTATTTCATCCAGCAGGGAACGCCAGAGGGCGCCAGCGGCCGCGAGGGACCGGCAGAGGCGGCCGCCTGGGGCGCGTCCCCCCCGCAGCCCCCCTGACATCTCCACTTGGCCCTGGGCTCCAGAGCCAGCAGAGCCACTTCCTGCTGCCCGAGGCCGCCCAGCCCGTGGCCATCGTTACAGCAGAAGCAGCGCACACACTGGCACGAGAAGGCCTTCTTGCAACTGAACGTGAAACTGAGCAAGCAGAAACCTGTGAGTTCAAGTGGATACTCAAATGCAAGAAAGAGCGGAAAGAGAACCCAACCATGTCGCCACCTCGCTACAAACACCAGCAATTGGAGAAAAGACTGATCGGTGACACTCTCGACTGGAAGAACCACGTTCAGCCCCAGTGAATAAGAGAAAGCTCTTTGCACTTATAAAATCAATCAATCAATCAATCATGTGGCTGGCGCTGTGGCATAGCGGGTAAAGCTGCCACCTGCAGCACTGGCATCCCATATGGGCGCCGGTTCTAGTTCTGGCTGCTCCACTTCGGATCCAGCTCTCTGCTATGGCCTGGGAAAGCAGTGGAAGATGGCCCAAGTCCTTGGGACCCTGCATCCACGTGGGAGACCCAGAAGAAGCTCCTGGCTCCTGGCTTTAGATCGGCACAGCTCTGGCCATTGCAGCCATCTGGAGAGTGAACCAGGGGTGGAATCTCTCTCTCTCTCTCTCTCTGCCTCTCCTTCTCTTTCTGTGTAACTCTGACTTTAAAAAAAAAAAAACTTAGCGCCGGCACACCGGGTTCTAGTCCCGGTTGGGGCGCCGGATTCTGTCCTGGTTGCCCCTCTTCCAGGCCAGCTCTCTGCTGTGGCCAGGGAGGGCAGTGGAGGATGGCCCAAGTGCTTGGGCCCTGCACCCCATGGGAGACCAGGAAAAGCACCTGGCTCCTGGCTCCTGCCATCGGATCAGCGCGGTGCGCCGGCCGCAGCTCGCCGGCCGCGGCGGCCATTGGAGGGTGAACCAACGGCAAAGGAAGACCTTTCTCTCTGTCTCTCTCTCTCACTGTCCACTCTGCCTGTTAAAAAATTAAAAAAAAAAACTTAAAAAAATCATAAATGTAGAAGGAATGGTGGAATTAGAAAATTCTCCACTTTGTTTGGATCAGCAGTGGATGCAGGGGAGGTTGACAGAGTTCCGCCCCACGGGTCACTTCTCAGCCTCCTGTGAGGGGTCCTCTGGGAGCCCCTGCCTGACACCCCCAGCCTGAATCTCACCAAACCTTGGGGCTGACTCTCAGGATGCGAGGGACGAAGGAACCAGGTCAGCGGCCCCAGGGAGACACAGGCAGACAACCGTGGGACCTCCGATACCCGCGTGGGTTCTCAAGGGGGCGAAGCCAACACCCGAGGAAGGCGGCAGGGGGCGCTGTCCAGCCGCCGACGCCGCGCTGGGACCTGGCCGCGCCCTGATGCGGCAGTGCCGGCCCCCGTGGCCTTCTCGGGTGCCACAGCGACCTCGCAGGTGGAGGTGGGGGCAGAAGTCACCTGTCTTCAGGAGATGCACGCCCAGGGACGGGCACGTCCTGAGCGCCCCAGCGTGTGCTCAGACACGGTGCCTACAGAGCCGACTGGGTGGGCGCTGACTGCTGCGCATGGGGGTGACCCCTAGTCACGGTCTGTTAACTTTCTCAGAACAAAAATTCGAAACATTTTCAAAGATGGAAAGGGGTGAAGGTGCCGCTTGCAACACCGGCATCCAGCTCATGTCCCGGCTGGCCTGGGAAAGCGCAGCAGATGGCCCGAGTGCTTGGGCCCCCGCACCTGCACGGGGGGCTCGGCTGCAGCGCCGGGCTCCTGGCTTCGGCCTGGCTCCGCCCCAGCCGTTTCAGCCCTTTGAGGAGTGAACCAGCGGATGGAAGATCTCTCTCTCTCTCTCAATCTGTCTCCCCTTCTTTGTCACTCTGCCTTCCAAATAAATAAATAAATCTTAACAAATATATAGATATATATTATAAATGCCTTTCAAATTAGTCAATTTTAAAATATGTATAAATCGGCCGGCACTGCGGCTCACTAGGCTAATCCTCCACCTGCAGCGCCGGCACCCCAGGTTCTAGTCCTGGTTGGGGCGCCGGATTCTGTCCCAGTTGCTCCTTTTCCAGTCCAGCTCTCTGCTGTGGCCCGGGAAGGCAGTGGAGGATGGCCCAAGTGCTTGGGCCCTGCACCCACATGAGAGACCTGGAAGAAGCTCCTGGCTCCTGGCTTCGGATCAGCACAGCTCCGGCCATTGCAGCCATCTGGGGAGTGAACCAGCAGATGGAAGACCTTTCTCTCTGTCTCTCTCACACAGTCTAACTCTGCCTGTCGGAAAAAAATGTATAAATCTGCACATTTCATTAATTTTAAATAAAATTAAAATGCTGAGTGGAGAGACGTGGGAGACCCTGACCTGTTCTTTTCCCACCCGGGACTGTGGAGGCCTTGGGTGTGTGTCAGTGTGTGTGTGTGTGTGTGTGCTCACACAACATAAAACTCCATCCTGGTGGTCTGCAGGTGGGTCCAGCTGGGTGACGCCGAGGACTGCCATGCCTTTGTGCAGCCATCGCCAACGCCATCCGACTCCGGTGGATTGAAATTCCGCCAGCTCCGGGCCCCCACCCCCGCCCCCGGCACCGGCATTCTACTTCCTGCCTCTGGGATTCTGAGCTCGCTGTGTTCCGCCGCGTACGTGGAACCTCGCGATGTTCGTGACACGCGCATCATAGCAAGTGTCAGAGCTGTCTTCCCCGAGGCCGAATAGCATCCCGCTGTGTTTCCGTCCTGTTCCGTCCTATCCGTGGATGGACACGCGGGGTTCTCCCGCCTCTGGTCACGGCGACTAGTGCGGCTAGGAAGACGCGTGTCCAGACCTTGCCTCCAATGCTTTTTGGGGTCGCCCCCTGATCTGGGCTTACCGACCACTCTTTTCTGTTTCCCCGAGAGCACAAGACAAGCGTCTTCCTCCCTTGGCAACACGTGGACAGGCCACGTCCACGCAGTGCGCCTGTGGCCACGGGACCAGCCTGGCGGCACCCCTACCCTGTGTGCTGGTGGCGGAGGTGGGGGAGGAGAGTCCCTGCAGGTCAGGGTTGATGGCGAGAGGGCTCCTCCTCCAGGGAATTCCGATCCAGAGACAGCCGGCACCTGCAAAATACACGCAACGGCGGTGCGGTTCTGGCGGCCGAGCCCCGGGTGATGACCGGCCCCCTCCCGCTCCTTCCTGGGTGATGACCCGGCCCCCTCCCGCTCCTTCCTGGCCCCGGTGGGGTTGAGACAGCGCCCAGCATGTGGGAGGGAAGGCGGGGCTTCCGCTTCTCTTCTTCCTCGAGGGGTCCGCGTTCCCTGAGGCCCC